TCAAAAGCGATTATTACGAAAAGCCACAGCTGGAAGACGAACTCCACGGACGATAAACCTCAGCACAGCATCTCAGGATGTCATCATCGCCACATGCAGCAAACTGTGCATTTGCCCCCGAACTCCCAGCACCACCTCAGCCGGTTCCCTTCAGGTGCTCGGAGAACAGACGGTGAGGCACGTGTAGGTGGAGTGACGTTACACGCCCATAACACTCAGGTTATCAGCCTACACAGAGCTAGTGTTATGTTGTAGAATGAACTCTGCGTCAGAAGCTCATTGCAAATTCAATTTCCAATCTGATTTAAACCATTATCGAGTATCTTGGTCGACTCACATCTCTCTTTTAAGCTCCACTTGAAAAGCTTGGTAAAGAAACTGAAAGTTAAATTGGTTTATTTTTCAGAAACAGATCCTGTCTAACTCTGAATGATAGGAAACACCTTGTGTGACTTTCCTTCCCTCCATTGATTACGGTGACATCATTTACATGAGCGCTCCTACAAGAACCCTGCAGATGTTGGATGCTGCAGATGTTGGATGCTGTCTATCATGGTACGTTAAGATTTATAACTGGCTGTGATTATCGTACCCACCACTGCACCCAGTATTCATTGGTTAACTGGACATCATTAACTTCACGCAGACTCTCCCACTGGTACATTTTCATCTTTAAATCACTTCTTGGTCTGTTGCCTTCATACATCTCCTCCTACATGTCTCTGCGTGAGTGCAGCTGCAGCGTGCGCTCTCAGGACATTATTACCTGCAGTGTTCCCTCAGTGAGGACTGAACTAGACAAAAGAACCTTCTCCTACTCCGCTCCCGTTTCCTGGAATATCTTACAAAAAGATCTGAAGCTCTCGACCTTGACCTCTCTAAGTGACTTCAAACATCTGCTCAGTTCATGGCAAAACCCAATGCAGACTTGTTCCTGGTCTTAGTTTTCTAAATCACTTTATAATCTAGCTGTTTGTTTCGTTTTTTTATACCATTTTCTTTCATTTGTTGTTCTCAGTTTGTATTCTTCCTTTTATGATTGTCTATTGTCGTCTTCGTTGTCCACTGTTGTCATCACTCTGTGTTAAAACCAGGTCTCTCTTGTAAACGAGTCCCCGACGCTCAATGGGATTAACCTGTATAAATAAAGGTTGAATGAATTTAAGACTAAAACAAAACTTTTTTGGGGGGGGGTCAAACTCAATTTTTATCTTTGGGGTTTACAAGAGCTGGGTGTGAGTTAGGCATTTCTTGGATTTGAAAAATAAAAATTGTGTTAATTCTTCAATATTTGAGGAATGTGGGAGGGGAGATTATAATAAATAATATCTTGGGGTGCAGTTTTGTTTATTTTTTATCCTTCTGAAGGCTGTAATCCTTTAAAACTTGTTTTCATAGTAATTAGAAGGGCAAGCAGTTGTTAGTTGTATTAAAGACATTATACATATTATTCTAACCATTGTTAAAACCTTAAAGATTTAAAGTACTAATAGTTTTCATCTAAAAACCACATAACTTTTAGCTTTCAAGAAAAAGCAGCCTTATTTGAGACGCCTCATGCCTTTTTGTTTTACAATACTCTGGGATGCAGCACTTTATATCACAGAACCGTGTGGCCTTGCAAATAGCAGATATTGTTCCAATTTTATCAGCGTCTGAGGACAGCATATCATAGTGCGCTGTGTTATGCACTATGCAAGAGCTGCTAATGGATATTGCAGGGCCAGGACCCAAGAGAGCAGCACTAATGAAAACATGGAGGAAGATCTGTGCGTGCTCATGCAGTTTGCAGAACCACCAACACAAGACTCTTCCAAGAGGTGCAACTGTTTCTGCGAGAGCATATGCGAGCGTTAGCTAAAACCAGTAACGGACAAAATGACAACGATTAACAAAAATTTTGGTTTGCATGATTATTTTCTCACAATAAACGGTTTTATCTTGCGTAAATGTTTAAATATCATTAACAGTTTGCAGGTTAACGACTTCTGAAGCCTGAAGATCGGCGTTAAGTTCCACCAACAAAACGAGCAGACACGGTGAGGATGTGTCCAAAATGTAGCTCTCGCCTGAATCACACCCTATTTTATTAAATTAAATGTGACGTTATTATAAAATACACTTATTAATGAAGACTTCAGACTAGAGCCTGAAACCAGAAACTCAAGAAGAAAGTGGATCCGTTTGTTTTCCCCCAAACACAAAAAGATTTTGGATGAAAATTAGGGGAAACGGGTTCAGTCGTCATCATGCCGTTCACACATTTACACTTTAAAGCAGGAAAATACGTGATAAAAGAAAATGTTATAGAATATCGAGCAGGGCAGATGATTTTCACGTGCAGCTCCTCCAAGAACGTGTTAAGAATATTTCAGGGTAGAAATGTGTAAAAGAAAAAAAAAGAAATAATAAACTTGGCATTTATTTTCTGCTTGTAATGTTTGGCAGCCAGGAGTTGCCCCCTGCTGCTCATTAGAAAACTGCACGTGCAGACTTTGTTTTAGATTTGGGGGTTTCATTTAGTTTTGAACTGAAATTTACACATTTTTATACAAATTACAGTAAGTTTGAAAAATAAAACAATAGATAACTAAATTATTCATACACTGCCTGCACAATCATATAGTGATTAATAAAAAAATAAACAAATCCAGGAGCTATTCCAGCAATAAATAAATTACTAATGCTACAAAACAAGCAGTTTCAGTGTTTTGCTTTGGTTTTTGCACAAATTAATCAAAACGGATGAAGTCCCCAGATCAATGGCATCGATTGATACAGCTCTTTTGATCAGGAAAGCGTCTATAAATGTGTTATCCAGGAATTCACGCTAGTGTCATGATTAATATAAAACACATTGTTTCCAGCACTCACCTTCAAATGCCAAAGCAACTAAACTTTAGCGTCTTGGATTCAGAGCATTTCGTGCTCGTTCACAGCCTCCACAAAGCAATGAGAGAATTACAACACACAAAGATAGAAACGCCACCTGTGATCAAGTCATGCAGCACAGTGACCTCACCCATGAAGGGAGTGGAGGGGGAGGATGGGGAGGAAGTGGACTACACGTGTAGACGAGACACCGTGCGAGTTAACGGGAACAATGGGAAAACAGAAAGTGACAGACACGATTCCTCTACCTGAGCACCTCGGAGAGCGAGGAGTCGCTGTCATCCGACCTGGAGGCAGAAGAGGAGCGAGGAGGAGGAGGAGGAGGAGAAGGAGGGTCGAGGTGGGAAGAGGAAGAGGGTTAACCACGCTAAGAAAAGACAGAAGGGTTACTGTCAAAGGGTAAAAAGGGAGGAGTGACTAACAGAAAAGGTTTCAAAGCTTGTTCAGTGAAATCAGGCAGCTCACCAGAAAGTCAGATTTGATCTTTTTTCAAACACTGAACAGGCTTTTTTTCAGACTTTTCTCTAGTGGTGTTAGAACAAACATTAAAGCTTACACATCTGAAGACAGTTTTAGAAGAAATGATGACATTTACGTTCTGGCTAGGAGCAGAAAGGAGCAGCTAGTTAGCTTAGCTTAGCAAAGTGGTTCAGGTAAATAAGAGCCTGCAGTGCATCAATGAGTCCGAGTGAACACAGACTGTCATTAAGACTGTTGGAGCTAAACCAAGTTACTCTTGCTGCTGCCGGCTGCTGCTTCATGCGAGGAACACGCGTGACAGCAGGGTCAATATTCTTATTTTGCACTTCTAGAAAACAAATCAAAGCGTTTGCAAAAATGTCAAACTGTCCGTCGTAACGAAGCAGAAACTGAGAGGGACAAGGAGAAAACGGGAGGTCAAGGAGTCACAAGTCTCCTGAACTGACTCTTTGTACACATGTTCAGAAAATTAGTACAGAAATAGAATCGGGGATGGCAAACAGTTAATAAAGGGGAGATGATTTATTTGGCTGAAGGATTAAAAACAAACAAATAAAAGATGGCACACCCGTTCCTCCACGACAGCTTGAAGGGAAACAGGTTATTACATCACAGTTCTCTACCAGCTACATAACTGTAAATAATTTATAGCCTTGGGTTGTCCAGCTAAAAGCAGAGCTTTTGAAGTGGAGTTCTGTGCAAAGGCTATGAACAATTAATATCTTACCCGTTGTAGATAGCTATTTAAAACAGCCTTAGTTTAGATAAACAGTTTAATTCTGAATAGATTGATGAAATAACAGGTTATGCTGCCAGTTTAAAGCAACTCCAATCTCAAAAATGTCACACTGGTTCAACAAACCATACTTTTTAAACCCTTACATTACCATTAATTTAGCATTTTTTGGACACGGCTTTGGCCCAGTGGTGGAGAGGTCGTCTTGCAAACAAAGGTTTAGATGTTCAAGTCCCAGTCCCTGCAGTGTGCCAAAGTGACCTTGGGCAAAACACTGTACCCCAGCGCTATGCCCCACTACGCTTATGTCCGTCCGTCTCTCCATCCATCCATCATCTTAACCCGTTTCTTCCTTTCTGGGTCGCGGAGGCCACTGGTTTCCATATCCAACAGTAATTGTGCAGGAGGCGGGGTCCAACCTGGACAGGTTGCAAGTCCATCACAGGGTAACAATAAAAATATAAAAGAGTTGATTATAACATGTAAAATCACTATTAGAACACACCTGGTAGGTGTGTGTGAATGGACGAATGAGAAATGTAAAGAGCTTTGCAGAACCTGGGTGAGGTGACAAAGGTGCTGCAAACTGTTAAGTGTGGAGCGTTTGTCATTTAAACGGTTATTTAAGTAAAAACCTGTGGTCGTTTTTAAGCACAAACAGCAGCAGCAGCTCGCACTTCCAGCAGGATTATCATATTATTACAGCTACAATAACTGTGACTTGAAATAGGTGTCAATGAAAAAGTTTATGCAGTTTGGTCAAACTGTTCGTAACTGTTTCACAGAGTTCCACAGCAAAAGATCCGAACTATCCCTTTAAAAATATTTTTACAAGTTCATCTAACTGCTTGTTTAGAAATATTACCATGATACTGAATCAACCTAGAATCAATTAAATGTCTCCCCAGTGATTTATTTTGATATATTACGGTTTACATAT